TACGCTCTGTAATTATGCCATATCGACTTCATTTGTTTAGTCCATTTACGCGCATTGTTATTAGGTATTGATCGTGTTCATTTCGCCGGCCGGGAGAATGTCGGGAACGTAACGTAGTCCCGACGTCGACATACGGGTTCGCACTATTATCTGTATGTAGCTGTAATGTTCTGATCACCCTACTTGCTGCAACCAGTCATTTATAAGACGGCACCGACGGGACATCTCAAGCCATATCGCTGGTTCATAGTTCTGTAATTTATGTCTGGTCAACTTGTAGCCTACCGCAACACGATGCGGTTATACCGAAATACGTTCGCGTGTACAGTGTGTGATTGCGTTGCCGCGTGTCCATATTTGAATTATTTAAGCCTTTGAGGAGTACGGCTCACTGCTATTTTTTACCGTAATAGTACGGGGTACCGCGCAGATTGATGAAATGACAATATATGTTCCCGCGCACCTGACACTGGCAAATCTTCCTGACCATGGCATGCGAGTTGATCGACGCCTTGGTTGCCATATTGGTTCCTACACTACTCCTAATAGAAAAATATAGGTAACCTAAAGGTTAACACGATAACGATAATAGTGAACCGCTATTAATGATTTAAGAGGTAATAACTCTCTGCTGGTGACACGATTGTGTCAAAAATCTTAAGTTAATAAATGTCTATACGTATTCAAGATTAATTAGACAGTGGAGGCGTTGTAGGTTGCGCCACCTGAGACTGAAAGGGAGGCCTCCGTCATATTTGAATCGTAGCGGGTGCCGAGACGTTTCGGGGATTCCATGGATTTAGCGTTAAATGGGAACGTCACAAAATAACTCAATATTTGTATAATGTCAAGGAAAATTTAGAATGCTTTTCACAATAATCATTGCGCTGAGCAGCAGCGAGTTAACGATGCGATTTGATGGAATTTTACGATGCGGTTAATTCTCGTGACCCATAGGCCACGAGTTGCGTGCTTTGTTCATCGCGTAGTAGCACGACGTCGCCGGTAGTGGCACTTCTCCGTCTCGTTTTCCATTTGTGTCGTGGTGTTAAGAGTACTGCGTTCGCCATAGCGTCCATAACAGTTCTGGCTAGAAATTGGACGCGTAGTCCAGAAGGTCTGCGGTATGAAGGTTTTTAATGGAGAAAAGGTTGGGTCCCGTGGGCAGAGTAAGCACTGTCGTGGGTGAGAGGGGAGACGGGCTGTCAGAGTTGTCTGATACGGACGAAGTAGCGTGTTGTGACGATCAACACGGCTTCAGCCTAGCCAGCATCGTACTGAAACTGAACTCGTCTAGAGAGTAATCTGCTTCCCATGAGTGCTAGTGCCGGCATATCTGAGGGAAGCAGTGTGCCGTGTAGTTCGAGACACTTCCCATGAGGGCCGTCGCAAAACACGCCGTGCGGGCATATCTGTGTAGTTTGCTCATTTTTGTAAGCTCACATCGTGGATGAGGCAGTAATTTGTTCAATTTCAGCATTGCGCCTTGTAAAAAATGGATCATTTGGGAATGCAAGGAATCAAAGTTCCAGAATGATGACTTGTACATGTCGTCTTCTCCAGCTCCAGATCGCATCGATTTATTAACTTTTCCCAACCTTTAATTCCCTGTTAATTACTAGTCCTTGCATTTCCCTCGCCAAATGCAAGGAAAACCCCCGAGAACATTACCGAAGGACCACCACTCTCGCCAGACCAATTGAAATTGGACACAAGTTGGATAGGAAACTGTGCTACTGTCTACACGTTTCAACTTATCCTCGCAGTTCGTCAAAATCTATGCCCTGGAGTTCAAATATCACTGCAACTCGAGACGCGCTTAAAACTGCGACGTTCTCTGCAAAGTTATGGACTGCGCAGACTAATTATTGAGGAAACCTGAGCATGTGGACCAGCGGTTATTAGTCGTTGGCACCTATCGTAGTTTGCGGCAAGCGACACAGTCGCGGACTATATTTGGGATCGCAATTCCATTCCGTTTAGTTTTGTTGTGATCGCTCTGCTTCGTCAACTCGTGTCGTCCCACAGTGGAATTATCTTCTTGCTACTTCTAATTCCGCGTAAAGACGAGGATCAATCAGATCAAATTCTAGGCAAACTTGCAAATATTTTTCGTTGTAAACTAATGTGAAGATTATAAATTTCCTGGCCTATGGCTAATGTATGGATGTACCCCGCGGGGTCTTCAATGCACATCCGTTGCATTTTATTCTTGTTCCCTCTGACGAGTTAGTTCCCAGGCAAGGCAACCAATTCGAACTCTGACGTGGACACGTATTACCAGCATGAATCCTACGCTCAAAAGAAGCTAACGAGGCGAGACTCGTCATTCCCATCAAAGCTCTGCGCAGCGTCCATGCACCGTTTCACTTGGCGTTAATCTTGTCAATCTACTTCCATTCTTTAGAGTACGAGTCCGTCTCTATGTGTAGAAAGCTGCCCCATAGCTCCATCTTCCTGACTTCGAAATTTTCCCGTCTGATGCGTTACGTCTACCGTATTGTCTCGCAGGATGTAACATTCCTCAGGCGTGTAATATTTTGACCATTCTATTGTTGAACTACGAGATATCCTAGGGGCCGTAGTTTGGAGCCCCCTGGCCTAGAGTGTAAATGATTATCCTCCGTAATTCGCACCCCTGAACATATCTCGGAACTGTAACTAGCGAATAATGGACTGTAGCAAGTCAGAAGGTATGAATAAACATTTTTATGAACAATTAAAACTTTATTGCATCTATTTGAAGTGAAAACTGCTGTCATCCTCTTCGGCACCGATTGCCAGCTGCAATAACATTGGAAATTATTATATGAATTATATGCACAAATGATCGTTTTTGCCGTTATCATCGTTATCAAGCTTAGGAAAAGATATCGTTATCAAGATCGTTATCAAGCTTAGGAAAAGATATTTTTTAGAACAAACTCTTCATCCTACATTTTATTACTTCAGAAGACAAGTATTACCGTGGAGGAGCTTGGTCAACTTCGATTCCCGGTAGGGAGGCTTTGTACCTGCGGCGAGAGCCGTCACAACCTTGTTAAGGACAAGTAATTCGCCATTTATATCTACGCCCTCTCGAAAGCGCTGCTCCGTGCTCGCATACTTAACAGCCTCGCTTCCGGCTAAGTCCGCGAATACAAATGAAGTTATGGGCTCCAGGTTGTTGCTGCAAGGATTACAGCCACTTAAAATTACCCTAGACGCATCCACTATTACCCTAGACGCCACCCTAGACGCATCCACTACATCTATTGACTTCTACTACCTTCACCGCATACGATGGTGTCGTTAAGACAACCTTCTAATCACTTGTATTAATATATACCTACTTTAATAATATTTCAGATCCTCAGGAAAGAAATACCTACAACCTGACACGTTCTATAAAATCTGGGTACTAGAGAATTTTAGTATTGTATTATCTAAATTACACTTGCATCTCATTCCGAAATTGACACATTCGCCAGCGTCGCCACGCTCTAGGAAATTGAGATGCCTCTCTTCCTCCAAGATCTTGAGGACCTCAAGAGGATCGTAAGTGAGGGCCACGTCTCGCTTGTTGCGCTGGCTTTGTCGCCGGTTCCTCCTCCACTTTTTCTTAGGACTCGTGTCCTGCATGCGGGGGCCGGGGATGCGGTGCACCTCCAGGATGTAGTAGTCATCAGTGATTACGTGATGTACCTCCGCAGTATATCCGTGCGTCAGGATCAAGCCGGGCTGCATTCCAAAGCAGGGAAGTTGTTGGTCGTTTGATTGCTCTTGATCACGCCCAGTCCAAGCAAGTTTATTGGTTCCGTCGAAAAATGACCAAGTCTATTACATCTATCTACAAGCACTTTAAAATTATTTATTTCCGTCGAACTGAACTAGCTTGATTTGCTTTTGTACTCTTCTTGTAAATAGAACCTAGAGAAATGATGTTATTTCGCAAGTAACAAAAAAATGATATAAAATAAAAGGTAGAATAAATATTGATATGAAATCTATAAAACTAGAATACTAATGGATAAATGTTACACTACTGTATATTCTTTCCAATTCAAAAGTAGGCATATTCATCTGAAATGAAAATAAGAAAATAAATTTAGTCATACCAACAGTCTTTTTTTTGATGGATTTTAATATTGTCCGTCCGGCCACCAACTCCTCTTGCTGCACGGACACACGTACTCGACTTTCCGCGTGTGCATGGCATTTTCATGTCGCGCTACATGCGTTTTGTTAGTGGAAAAATAACGGCAGTATCGACAGACATGTTGGCGCGGGGGTCGAAGGGAAGAGGGCAGGCTGCAAAAAAAAATTAAAAAGAAAATAAGGCGTTAAACGGCATAGTACATGACCAAATCAATCAACTCTCGACCGTACAACTTTAAATGTTAGATTTAAATCACAAGAGGACATTGAAATAACCTAGTAAATAACTTAACCTAAAACAAATATACAGAAGACGCAGCATGCAAGTAAGACATATAAATATGCATTAGTGGTGTTACATTTACATAATATACATTTGACCCCAGGTATCTATTTCCAAACTAGGTACCTAATTTGATGAAAATTTTCAGATAGATGACTGGATTTTTTTGTCGAAATATCATCTTGTATCCTACTTACTACGTGTATACTACTTAATCAATTAATTAATTTTAATTACAATAACTTACTTATAACTGCGACATAGAACTGCCGTTACTCCTACCACCAGAGACAATCTGACAACCATAGCAGGTCTCGGTCTCAAAGCATTATCAACAAGCAAGTTCATATCAAAATTGTCGATGAATTCAACAGGCTTCGTGACACCCTTGACAATGTCAAATTCCAAACTAAACAGTTATCCGAGAGACCGGTGTACTCAATAAATTTTGCTTCAAAGAAGGTTGTAGACTTCATGTTTTAGACAACATCGGACAAATTGGACTAACAATCAAGATACCAAGCCGCTGTCTCGTTAGCTACCTTCAAACTGGAGGGCAGGTGAACCACGCGAGACAAGCTCACAACCAGACCGTCACTCGCATAGCCCGGACCAGACCGTCCCGGTCGGTAAATGAACAGTCTGTGTCTGCTCCGTCGTCGTCCCGGTCCGTGTGTGGACCGTCGTCGTCCCGGTCGGTAAATGAACAGGCTGTGTCTGCTCCGTCCTCGTCCCGGTCCGCGTCTGGACCGTCGTCGTCCCGGTCGGTAAATGAACAGTCTGTGTCTGCTCCGTCCTCGTCCCGGTCCGTGTCTGGACCGTCGTCGTCCCGGTCGGTAAATGAACAGTCTGTGTCTGCTCCGTCGTCGTCCCGGTCGGTAAATGAACAGTCTGTGTCTGCTCCGTCATCGTCCCGGTCCGTGTCTGGACCGTCGTCGTCCCGGTCGGTAAATAAACTTTTCGTGTGCTGCGCGAACTGCCAGCAACGGCCTCAGCTCCAGCAAAAATTGATCTGGAACAATACGAACATCCGTTAAAAATGTAAATTATAACGGTTCAATAGAAAATATAGGGAAGATACACACATTCTTGACATGACGGTAGTATAAGTTAAGGGGACCTGCTACCCTAAAATTTTCAATTTTGGCGTTTTTCGGTTTTTGTGCTCATCTGAAAGCTGGAATTATGCTCTTTCCAATGGTACCACTGCCATCGCTGTACGCCAATATTTACGTTCATGACGTCTCTTTAAAGGGAAGCGGGTGGGAGAGTTCTTTAAGTAATTAGATATAAAGTAATTAGCTGCTGAAATCTTTGAATATAATTTCTACTTGAGTTGTGCTGCAGTTACATGCTTAGTCTCATCTTAAAGCTGACATTCTGAGCTTTCCAACGATACTACTGCGATCCATGTACGGCAATATTGACGCAGATGGCCGGGCTTTAATGGGGGAATGTATTACAAGTGGTAAGCTTCAAAAACGCTGAAAATGTTGGATGCTCCGAATCAAAGTCACCTGAAAATATGATGTCTTCTAAATTGTCGACAATCATTCATATTGCCATGGCAAATTGAAAAAAACACTAGTTTTATGAGATTTAGTTATTTTTTATCAAATATATCCACTTCGCTCATGCCGTTTGTGCCGCTCATTAGGGCTAACATTCATTAAAATACTACATCACTTAATAAAGATGTTCATCATTTAAGAGGGCCTACATATATGTCCAAAGCAGTGGTTCCCAAACTTTTTCAGGCTGGCGTCCCCTTCGGCTACCTTGTGATTTGCTATCGCCCCCCACAGACACACATAAAAACATACGCCTTTCTTGAAATTTGGTACGCTGCAATTTTAAAAGATAAAGGTTAAACACAATGTGTCTTTCACAAATAGAACCCATTTAGTGAACCAATATGTTTTTAAGCTGTTTTAACTGTTTCAGCACTAGAAACCTATGGACGTCTCGGGCAAATTTACGGCCGGATTCGTGTCGCAAGACCAATCTCCAAATTCAATTATCAAGTAATATCTCCCAAACTAATGAACGCAGCTCAATGAAACTTCGAACATGTATTCATCACATCCTAAAGGTGATTTTTAGCTTGTAAACAATTTTTAAATTTCAAATTCATTCGTGAATTATATTGCTATAAAGGCCGAAATTCGCAGTGATCAAAGAATTTCTTCCAAACTACTGAACAGATATGAACGAAATTTCGAATATACATTCCTAACTACCAAACGGTGATTTTTCAGCTTATAAAAAAATTTCGACTTTACCTTCGTCTGCGAGTTTTTTTTTTTTCACCGTCATTCTTGATTTCACACTTCCTTATATTCGGCCTGTATCGCCGGATAATTTGTCACTTAAATTCGCGGTGATCAAGAAATTTCTTCTAAACTACTGAACAGATTTCAACGAAACTTTGTATATAAATACCTAACCTCCCAACGGTGATGTTTAGCTCGTGACAATTTTTCTATTTTGCTTTCGTTCGCGAGTTATGCAGATATAGGAGGACCAACCAGCTTTTCTACCTGCCGGTTTAACCATGAGCCGTTTACGCATATCCGTATACTTATAGCCGTATAACTCGCAAACGAAGGCAAAGCGAAAAAATTTAGCGAGCTAAACATCACCGTTGCTGAGGTTAGGTATATAAATACTAAGTTCGTTCATATCTATTCGGTAGTTTTGGAAGAATTTTCTTCATTACTGCGAATTTAAGCACGTATTGCTGTTTAAATCAAGAATGAAGGTAAAATGAAAAAAAAGCTCGCGAACAAAGGCACAATCGATTAAATTTTCACAAGCTTAACATTACCGTTCGGTAGTTAGGACTGTAAATTCGAAATTTCGTTCGAATCTGTTCAATAGTTTGGAAGAAAATCCTTGTTCACTGTGAATGTCGGCCCGCATTGCCATATAACTATGGCAAAAACAAATGAAGACAAAATTAAAAAAAAAATTCACGAGCTATACATTACTGTTAGGTCCTATTGAATACGTGTACCAAGTTTCATCGAGTTAAGTTCATTAGTTTGAGAGATATTCCATAATCATTGAATTTGGAAATTGACCGTGAAACCGGCCGCGAGTCCGGCCGTTAATTTGTCCGAGACGTAAACCCAGGAGAGGTACAAAAACAGATCTGGGTGAAAAAAACCATTGCTGTGAGCCTGTGAGTCATATGTGCTGCACGTGTTGTGTACAAACCGTCAAACAAACGTTGGAACTTCTGACTTTGACTTCGGACTGCCAACCCCCCCTACCGCTCCCCAAACGCCCTCTTCTTCCTTACGCCCCCAAAATCTTTCCACCGCCCCTAGGGGGCGATATCGCCCACTTTGGGAACCACTGGTCTAAAGCGTCTAGGGACTATATCCGTACAGCTAGTGAAGACTGTGGAGATAAAACTTCTTCGTTCACGGCCCATAGCAAACTCGCAGGACGTGCATTAGCGACTAGCATTTTACGCCAGCCTTCATTTATCTATTATTATTATTATTCTACGAAGCAGTTATCGTGGCGTCTGGTACAAACAAACTTCGAGAGCACATCACGCATAAGTTTGATAACAAGTAAAAAATGAAGAGACACGAGAAAGGATGAGAACTCTATAGTACCAGATTATTGACAGAATTAGAAGTTTTTTTTCTAGTAAAATTTTTAGTAAGCTCTGTTGAACAGCCATAATGAAAGAGAGAAAAAATTTCCGAATTTCTAACAACATCGTTGGCAGAACTTGTGTAACTAGCTGAATGAAGAGTCCATTGTCAATATTATTGAAATTACATATCATAGAAATTATGGGTTATAATATCTTTCTTCCTTTTGAACGACCCCATATCAGAGAGTATAGACTTCCGCATGGGTGAACAGCTTTGTATGATTTTCATATTATTCACTTTATCTTGCCTCAAACGTACCCACTATGAGCAATCAGTACATCGATCTTGGCATCTTCAGTGGATAAATGAATATATTACATATACACGCTAAACACGAGCCGTTCTCATCGGTTCATGTACATGGGATCTTATTAATAAGCGTCCTATCTCTGGTGTTGATGCACTCAGCCCAGCTGCTGCACTGATGAACCTTCGCAAACAAACGACTGATGTGCCAGTTGTCAGCGCTAGTTGCGTTAAATTGCATTCAAGTCAGGACTATGATCAGGTGAACTTAATGTACGTTATAATAACTACGTTATTTTACAGGAAAAGTGAGCAACTTTTCGGCCTAAAGCTAATGAGGATGTTTCTGATGCTTTTACGAAACTCTTCATCTTACATTCTATTATTTCAAAAAGACAAGTCTGATCTTGCAGAAGCTTTGTCAGTTTCGAATCGCGGTACGGTACTGGCGAGTGCTGCGATGACTCAAACTAACACGCGCAAAATATAAATAATTTTCACGAGCTAAACATCACCGTTGGATAGTTATGAATTATATTCAATATTTCGTTCAAATCTGTTCAGTACTTTGAAAGAAATATATTGTTCACTAAGAATTTCGGCACGAATAAAGTGAGTCACGAATTTAAAAAATTTTCACGAGCTAAACATCACCGTTAGGTCCTAATGAATACGAGTACCAAGTTTAATCGAGCTACGTTCATTACTTTGGGAGATATTCCTTGCTCAATGAATTAGGATACCGGCCGCAAGTCCAGCCGTAATTATGTCCGAGATGTTCATTTTTAACACCAAAATTGGACACCTTCAAGTCAAATAATTTATTTAGCTTTAATAAACTACAATTATGAATCCAAATCACATAAATACTTCAATACACCGTTTTTACCAATTCAAAACTTTACACATTGGTGCCACGGGTATTCATCGGCCAATTTTGTCATTACATTTGATAAAATGGTTAACTTTGCATAATCAAAATGAAATTAAATTTTCATTCCATTATGTTATAAAAAAACTGTGGAGTTTGGATTATATTAATTTTATTTTCCGTGACAAGCAAGACCGCCGTTCCGCCTTATATCAATGGATTGAATCGAGTAAAACAGGGTGCAAAACTTTCGTCATTTTGAGGAATAAGAAAGAAATGGACGAAGTCCGCTAAAATAAATAAATATTCCCGTAGAAAATATATAGATTTGCAAAAGAATGCTGAATTTTTAATTTGTTTCTTCTTCTTTCTGGGAAATGGTTGAAATCTTTCTCGTGAATAAGAAAGAAGTGGACGAAGTCCGCTAAAATAAATAAATATTCCTGTAGAAAATATATAGATTTTCAAAAGAAAACTGAATTTTTAATTTGTTTCTTCTTCTTTCAGGGAATTGGTTGAAATCTTTCTCGTGAAGTATCACTAGAGGGAAAAGTCACACGGTAGCGGTGATTAAAATAAAAATGCGTTCGTTTGTTAATTTAAGAGACGGGGATTTGTTTTCTTTATGTTATTATTTCGATATTTTTCTCTGGAGTAACTCGATAGATTTGTCAGGTTGTTTTGGCCGCAGTGGCTATAGTGGCACGTTTCAGAAGTCCTCGATCAAGCAGTCACGAAGCAGCACAAGGAAGAATAACAACACATGAAAAGATTAAGTTTCCTAAATTATGGAGAAAAATCATACACCTGTGAACGATGGACGTCGTTCACAATTAACCGCGTTCATTTTATTAATCTCGTGTACCTACCGAAAGCCACATCTTGCGTAGCCGCCTTAGTAACATAGATGTTGGACTTCACTTCAGCGGTAGCGACGTCGAGACGTCAGCGTTGCCAGATGGTATATTTGTATACCAGATTTCACAAATCTGGTATTTTCAGAAGGTGTCTGGTATGAACATTTTAGATCTGGTAAATTTGCCTAAATCTGGTATTTTCTGACTTACTGCAAATTTACTGCATCAAGTTCCACCTCTGAAGTTTGAATAACGTCGTGCAAGTAGAGTCGGTTGGTTAGTCGTCTGTTGGTCCAGCAGTAACTCTCTGCCGCGCTGTTTCCAGTTGCCAGAGCAACTAAATACAAGGCTTTCGGCAATAAATCGTTCTTCGAAGCCAGGCTGCACGCGAATCTAGGGAGTTCAATAAAATTCACGACTCGAGAGGGACCAATGAGAGATGAAACGCTTCGGTGTAGAATGGCAATAAACTGGGATAACTAGGATTTAGCCAGCTTTGAGAATTGTGGACGAAACGTAATGCTGTTGAAGCCGTAACGAAGTGGAAAACGAACGCGTTGCGGTACACTAACGCCGTTTTTACAGAAAATTATCTGTTATCGACAAGGTTGACCAGGAAATCCGAGACTACTTTGAGGATACCTGTATCGGTTCTCACAATTCGAAGCCAGGTTTGAAAGGCTGCCCAACAGTTTTGGTATTGTCGTAGTGTAGATTTTCTATGAGAAGCAATCAATTTTGTTGCCAACGAAATGCCCAGTTTTTTAAAATGGCATATGTTGGAAACTTCTTGCCAGATAGGGAGATGGCTTGACCGAGTGAACTTATATGACTTCGTCTCCTAGGCTATGGTGTTACTTCGAGGATTATTTGCAACGGTCTTAACCAGTTCCGGCCACCAAAAGGCTGATATAAGCTGTTGTGCTACTATTAAGCCGTTTTCTCGATAGTTGCGGAGCTCGCTAATCACTTGCTGCATCAGGTTGTGTGGCGGAAAGGAGTAGATTTGGTTCCAGGTGTTCCAGTACACTGAGAGCGCATCCGCCACTGCTGCCGCTGGGTGGCGGAACTAGCAGCCGAAGACCTTCAGTTTGCAGTTGCCCGGGTGTACAAAAAGATCGATCTCAAGTGTACAGATCGATCTGCCGGGTGTACAAAATATCGATTCAAGGTGATCAAGGCCAGAATTGGATGGAGAAGCATATGGGGTCCCTCGTCCCGTTAAATCTTTATAAGCTTGCACAGTCATGAGCTCCCCAACTTCGGTCGAATCTTGAAAATAAATTCCGGCTTCATTTACTTTCGTTACAGCCTGTCAGAGCGGAATGGTCACCATGTTATCCGTCGTCGATTGGTAATCATCCACAGTAGGCTTATATTGTGGCGGCATTTCTTTTCTGATTCCTTCGTATCTGAACGTATTAAGGCCCGTTCACACTAAGGGCAACACACGAGAGTCAAGTGCCTCAAAGCGCATGCAGAGGCGCTTTGCAGCCTCTGCATGCGCTTCTTGACCGATTGACGAGCTAGCGATTGACAGGGGCCATGCCTCATGGAAACACAAGCGCGGCACTTAGTAGATAGCTATTAAAGAATTGATATCACTTGTATGCTTAAATCGCAAATTAACTAAGAATTTAAATTGAATTAAATTAATTAATTAAAGAAATTCAATTCGTTCTATGGTTTCAATGTATTAATTTATGATTCTAGATTCTACGAACTGACTATGGAGCTGGTCTCCGAAACGTTTTCTATAAAGATATGAATTTTTGTGGACAATTCTTTTTTTTAATTCTTAGTTAGTAGATAGATGTCTGTGGTCTAGTAAGGTTGATTGTGTACGCTGGTCCGGCACTCCAAATGTCGACTAACACCACTCTCGTTTGGAGTCACTCTCTAGTAGAGAGCCTAATTGATCTTTATAGAGAACACAAATGCCTATGAAGTGTTCGGTCAAAGGAGTACAAAAATCGAAATACAAATGATGTAAGTTATTTTTACATGACGTGTTTAGTTTATGTGATTTTAGCAAATCCTGACAATTTATGCATTACCGTTTAGCGATTTCAAAGGATGATGTAATATCTGTACGAATATTGGAGCTTTTTATTTAAGAATAGACTATATTTTTTTATAATCTGTATCTTTTTGAATGTGCTACTTCTCTAATTATGATGCCTATGCTAAGTTCTCGTTTACAACTGGCATAGTGCGAAGAATGACGGACCGCAGCGTACCCGAGAACAATGGCCCACAGCTCAAATCCGGTGACATCCATCCTCATTAACGTCTAGGAGGCAACTAGTGTTCAAAGCGCGCGGTCCCAAACTACCGAGTAAAAAAGTAATATGAACGGTTGTGCGCGGTGAGGCACTGCAGCAAACGACTCAAAGCGCATGTCGTTGCCACTAGTGTAAACGGGCCTTTAGAATGGTGGAATTTCGTGGCAACGGAGTGTCGCTCGGTAAAAGTAGAGTGACCAAGGTTTCCTTGAAGATTAGGGGCGGTAGCCGAATCTTGGGCGGCCAAGTTTCGGGTAAACTATCCGATGAGTCGATTCATTCAGATACTGGTGGGAGCCGAGAGGGCATCGGTCGAGAGAACTTCTGGCTGTACCCACCACCCGACAGCTTTTCTGAAGGTCGTGGAGATTCTCTAGCGGTTCAGCTGGCTGAATTTGGGAGCGTGCATAACCACTAAATGAATGTAGTGGTTCCTGAGGTGTATGAGGATGGCTACAAAGTTGAAGAGGCCTAGAAAAGATTAATATTGCCGTTGCCGTTGATGGACAAAGCGCCCTGATATTATAATGGCTGTGCACCATGGTCTTCGCTCATTTTGTCAATGAGGGGAGCAGCAGAGAGCTCTCGCCCTACCACTCCACGCCCAGATTAATGACTTTGCGTGACGGTTAGGATAGGATTTCTCGAGATTTATGGTGAAACCCAGAGTTTGAAGAAACTCCACGGCTCGTTTTGAGGTGTTGAACAACATATTTCTGGAACAGTTTGTAGAATGACACGTGCAGGAAGGTGTCTGATATGTTGTTTCGTTGTGAATAAAGTATCCTGTGACAGAGTATCCGTCAAGGAGCAATATTTATACATATTCGTAATAAGGGCTGGTGCAGAAGTGATTTATTACGCACCACATGTGCGCAAATTAGGTCTCTAGCGCGAGATAGTCTCCTCATGGAACTATCTGATAGCTTAATTAGCGACAGCGTGCGACACCAATTTGCCGGTTCCTCAGCTATGTTTGGATGTGGGAATAATTCCGGTCGAGCAGAGACACGACATGAGACTGCTAAGATATAGTAATACTCGACCCAGAGTATGAACCACTCATGTCTGAGAACAGATATCTCGATATTACTTTATAAAGACGTAAGTCAGAGCTGGATGGCAGAGTAAGGTAGTCGCTTGGTTGCAACTGCCAGTCGGGTGAATTCACCCTTGCGTCAACGGCACAAGATGTGACTATTGGGTAAAACTCTAGCCCGTGCATAGCAACACGGGCGAGAGTCAGAGCTGCTGTACGGCGACAGGGCAATGTGAGGCAGTGAGATCACCTAAAGAGCTCAATCAGCACAATCCTCGGTTCCAAAGTTACCTCCAGATTTTCACCGTAAGGGAGGTAATGTGATACCTCGTCCGAATTACTAAGCATCGAATTATGGGTAAAGTATATCGACGTCACTACACCGCCATGATCACAGCGTGAGCACGCGCCCGTCAGAAGTCCAATAGCCTAACAATTTTATTCATTAGATGTATTCGTTAAAAAATTAGTTCACTTGTTATCACTATGTGATAACAGGTAGAAGTAACCTGTAAGAGTACAACGTTTTCGTGATTATCGTCCGAGTAATATCTTAGAGCCTTGTGGTTCCTTCATCTATACCACTTCTTGTAATTGTTTGTATAAAAATCGTGTATTAGGTATCGTATACACACGTATAGAGATAGATCTGGCTACAAACGTGTATAGATGTTACTTTAACCTTGCAATTAATGAAAACGCTTAGGTTATAAACATAACTATGTCGTTGATGTGACATTATGCCGTGCTATGAAATGAATATTTCTCCCTATGACATGACCGTGAAAATATTTTCTAAGATTTAAAATTACTTGGACACGAAGACATTGCAAAAGAGTGTCCTCAAGCTCAAAAAAATACACCACTACTGCTCAGCCCCTATGAACACGACTTGTGGGGAATTCTCCCCTGGGGCCTGGTGATAAAAGATCAAGTGTCTTCTCGGCATGCAGCTGCAAACGTATAACGATTTTGGATACAAAAAATGATAATTTTCCCGATTTATGAGCTTAGTTTATAAGCACATTAGCTGCTCCTGCACCAGCATGCTGCTCACTTGCACTCATCTTCTACATATTTACTATGGGATCGAAAACTTGTACTGAGCTAATATGCCACAAAAAATTTTCTGTTGGCCTATGTTGCTTCTTGCAATCAACAAAATTCCATCATAAAAAATAAAAAAATTCATAAAGAGTGAAAATGTTACTTAGACAGTCAATGAATGACTTGCCTGAACAAATGAATATTTGATCTCATAGTCATCCCTAGGGACAGCAGCAAAGATCTCCCTACATGCTCTTGGGATAATGCCGGCGGTCTCGTCAGTGGACTTATATGTTGCCCCCCAGTCCCAGGGTGTAGGACTTGCTGCTGCCAGATGCACCGTATGCCAATATTGTAAAATTGGCACCTGGAAATGTCACAATCAATGAATGACTTGCCTCAACAAATGAGCATTTGATCTCGTATTCCTGACGGACAGCAGCAAAGATGCCCCTAAATGCTCTTGGGATAATACCGGTCCCCATTTAGTAGTCCGGAGCTTTTAGTGACGTGCAGTCCCATTCTATTATTGCGGAATTTTATCAAAAACGTTACACAATTGACCGACTTTTGCATATATATTTTAATTGTATATATCAACAAAATTTCACGTGTATGCATTGCATTATATAGAATAAAAAATATTTTATATTTAATCATACGTTTATATATTTTCTATCGTCAGATCATATAGAGGTTGATCTGGCTAAAATAAAACTGATCAATCTTAAAATTACATGACTGCTTGAATTGCAAATTTATCATGAATTAAAATTTTGCTATTTTCTTTGCTCTTGAAATATGACTTAAACCTTATAATCTGAAACTGCGCATCTACGAAGCAGATTAGTGTCGAGTTGTTCCTTCAATGGGCAAGCAACCGCCAACGCCCAAAGCACGAGCTGAAGCAAGAGCTGCTCTCCTGGACCTCTTGTAGATAGAACCTATAGAAATGTTATTTCATAAATAACAAAAAAAAATATATATAAAATAACAGATATTCAAATACTGATATCAGATATATATAAAACTTGAATAATAATGGAAAATATTTATACTCGTGTATATCCATTCCTATTCAAAAGTAGGCATATTCATCTGAAATGAAGATAGGAAAATAAATTGTCATAGTAACCTTTTTGTTATGGCTTTCCATATTGTCAGGCCACCAGTCGGTCTTGCCGCAGGGACACACGTACAAAATCTCATGTGTATGCATGACATTTTCGTGGTTAGCCACGTGAGTTTTATTCTCCGACCAGTAGTCGCAGTAGACACACTCATGGCAGCGCGGGGATGGAAGGGAGGGGCAGGCTGCGAAAAAGAGAAGGGTAAAACCATGGTTGAATTAATACTGTATTCAACCATGGCTAAAACGGCATAGTACACGACCGAATCAATTAGCCCTCTCCCGCCAGACCTGTGACATTTAGTGGAGTAAAATCCCGGAACTGGTGATCTGAAAAGCCGAAACTATGCTGGAACGTGGTCTGTTGAGTAGTTCTCTCACCATTCGTTGATCAGCACAAGTCGTCTAGAACAAGGGTCTCCAAACTATGGCCCGCGGGCCACACAATTTCATCCGGCCCGCGGCCCGCCGAATGAAGTCGTGAAATGAATAAATAATTATTTTATGAATGGCATCGTAGAATTATTCAAAGCTGGGGCCTGCTGACTAGTGGCGCTCAGCCCGAGTCAGTTTTCCTCTCTCTCGATAGTGTGACGTACAGATACTAGTGCTGGTAGGTATGTGATATGCATCACAACTAATCAGTTGTGTATAACTGTATAGTGTGGGGATGGCTGCCGAGTGGGGCTTCGCTGCTTCAGTTTCAGGGAGCACAGCTCTTTCGTAATCCATTTGACTGCAATGCTGAAAATCTTCCAACTCAATTACAAATGGAAATTATTGATCTCCAGGCAGATGACAGACTGAAGGATAAGTGTAGAGAAGGAAATCTGATTGAGTTCTATAAATGCCTGCAGCCAGATCAGTTTCCAAATTTGAACAAGTTTGCTTGTAGTTTTGTGTCCATTCTTGATTCAACATACTTGTGTGAACAAACCTTTTCCAAAATGAAGTATGTGAAATCTAACTGTCAAGCAAATTTGTCTGATGATCACTTGAAATCAATTCTTGCAATTGGCTAATCTAATCTGAAACCGGATTTTAATGAAATTTTGAAGTCAAAACGGCAGCTTCATTCGTCACTCTAATTTGGTTAAATAAAACTAAAGACAGGCATCTATTTAGTTTACACTGATTTTTTACAAAAATATATGTTTTAAATTTTCCATGGTTATACCTTAATATTTAGGTAAATAAAATTACAGGCACTGATTTTCTTTTATTCATTCGGCCCGCATAAATATTGGAAATATATAATGTGGCCCGCACAGTGAAAAGTTTGGAGACCCCTGGTCTAGAAGAACGTCGTTTAATTTACTTCAGGCACGTTTTAGCTTCTGGCCCGTTAACACTGCTGGGCGTCGTCTCCACTCTTCGCGGTTGTCTTCTGAATTCAGTAGAAAACGTAGTCGTAGCGTTGAATAGTGAAGCGGCCGTACAAGTTTACTTCCGCGCCATAGTCATCGTATTTCTTTCATAGTCAGGTTGACTCCGTTCATAGTCAGGTTAGCAACCCACGTAGCGCGTCGCTTGATTTTACCCTAAACGACCCATAGTTTTTTCCCATCAACAGGAACAACTACTTCGACTTAAAACTTTCTATTCGCATTATTGTCACAGAAGCTGCAGCTGCGCTCTGAGATCTACGCATTCGTGTGTTTTGGTGGCCATTTGGTCGGTGGCCTGCAGCTTCTCTACATCCAACAGCCTAAGCCGGTGCATCACAGTAGATATCATAAGGGGACCGTCTACCCTAAAAATCGGTTATTTTGGCTTTTCCGTTTTCTTGACTCATTTTGTAGCTACTGAAAAGGCGCGTCTAACGCAATTTACCGCATCTCTGTGCGTGCTATAGTTTTTGCGTAAGACAATTTTAAAAATATAGAAAATGAACATTTTTTAACAATATGTACAAAGATTTATTTGAATTAAATCTGTATATATAGATCATTACTTTCGTTAATTACTAAGTGTTTGTACTCGTTTGAAAGCCTACAAACGAGACGCGTTCAACAAAGTTACTACCATAGATGTACATGCAATATTTTTTCGTGTAATGCAGTCTTAAACTTTTATAAAATGAACATTTTATGACATTATTTACTAATAAATGGTATTTTTATGTCATTATTTAGGTTAATTGCAAAGTGTTTGCACTCGTTTGGAAGCTCCAAAAAGACGCGTTCAACAAAGTTACTACCATTGATGTACGTGCAATAGTTTTTGCTTAATGCAGTTGTAACGTTATGTAAAATGAATATTTCATATATATAAATTTATATATAAAAAGTCAAATTTATAGCTTATTATTCACGTTAAATTTGACATAAATAGGTCTAAAGACGCTTGCTGGTACCCTGAATGCAAATAATTGGCAATGGGAAAGCGTGGGCTACAATATCAAGACTTTTTTGGGTATATTCTTCTGTTTTCAATGAATTTTACTTTATTTGGCTCCCCTGAACAATTTAAATTGAAGTTTTTTGTCTTTTTGAAAACCTTTCTCCTCCTACAGTTTTCAAGCTACAGCAATGAGAGATATCATTCGATTTGTAAAGACCATACCTATCGATCTAGCCAACCGTTTTTTTTAATTTGTGCATGGTTCGTCTTATATATGGGGGAGAAGGTGGGGAGGGCAGGGAAAAAGTGAAAAAATGGGAAAAACGCGCATGAAAAAAGGGATGAAAAAACATGAAAATAAGGGATAGCAGAGTCGATAGGTATGGTCTTTACGAATCGAATGATATGTGTCTCGATGTTGTAGGACGATATTTGTAGGAGGAGATAGATTTTCTATAGTACCCGTTTTTGGCCGTTTTCTATGAAGATCACGTTTTCTATCAATTTTTTCGAAAAATTCTATGCTCGTTTTACAATAAAAAAATGTAAAATGCACACATACACTTCAAAGTGCTACTAGCCTATTATTGATCTTCAAAAATGCCTACCATCTGCCAGGGGAATTTAAGTATTCTACACGTGTATGGTAATTGGTTCTATTTGATAACGCTACGATATTTCTACACGTCTATTGTATATCTCAGATGAAAATCGACACAAATCTCGAAGAACATTATTAAGCTACAGCTAAAATAGATATTAACCTCGACGCTAAGTTTTCTAAGCAGGAACCCACAAAGACTGTACCTCTCGTTGCAGCCGAGCAATTTCAGCCGCGTTATCGTCAAAGTGAGCCATTTTGGCTTCCCTGGCAAAATTCAACATCGCTACTGTTGCTACACGCTCGACCACTAGTGTATAAGAATTTCCTGCTAGGGAGCCTGCAGAAAAAATAGTTATGAAGACAGTTGGGAGCATGCGCAACTATATGCATAATCTCTACACTTTTTCTCTCTGGTCTGTCTTGGAGAAGTGCGGCAACGCGGACCCTACAATTAGACCTATGTAATCATTTTGTATTGTTGATTTTTCAAATCATGGGGACCGATGCTTGAAACTGACGACTCGGACAAATTTACGGCCGGATCCGCGGCCGCCGGACTCCAAACATAGAAAAAACCTAGCCAATCAATGAAACCTCGCAGGTTAGGTCCAGTTAGGAACAGGTTCAATTAAAAACACAAAAAAACTAGTAAAACCCATGAAAACAACAAGAAAACCTCTCCGGCCGCGGATCCGGCCGTAAATTTGTCCGAGACCTTTGAAACTGGACTTCGTTTTTAAACCTGTGAGTTAATTTTTAATTTTAATCTTGCCCAAAAAGCAATTGACTCCTGCGGGACTTACAAGGCTATACACTTTATGAAAAAATTTAATGAAAATTCTAATCCGAACAAAATGCTTTCATCTAATACCCATACGACAAAGCTATAATTAACGTCTCGGACGAATTTACGGCCGGACCCGCAGCCGGACTCCAGATTCAGTGTACCAATATCTCCCAAAGTATCTCCAATATCTCCCCAAGTACTGAACGCAGCTCGATGAAACTTGGTACACATATTCAATATGGCCTGACGGTGATGTCAAGCTCGTGACTATTTTTTAAATTTCGCCTTCATTCGTGAGTTACATGACAAAATGTGCCGAAATTTGCAGTGTACACGAGATTTCTTCTAAAATACTGAACAGATTTGAATGAAATTTTGAATGTAAATTTCTGAAGACTCAACGGTGTTGTTTTGCTCGTGAGAATTTTTTGCCATTTGCCTTCGTTCTCGAGTATTTTTATCTTTTTCCTAATTCGTGATTTAAACAGCAAAACGTTCTTAAATTCGCAGTGTACATGAGATTTCTTCTAAAATACTGAACAGATTCGAATGAAATTTTAATATAAATTTCTGAATACCCAACGGTGATGTTTAGCTCGTGTAAAAATTTAAGATTTTGCCTTCGTTCATGAGTTATATGGCAATACAGAGAAACTTCTGACATTTAAACAGCAAAGCGTGCTTAAATTCACAGTGTACACGAAATTTCTTCTAAAATACTGAACAGATTCGAATGAAATTTTAATTATAAATTTCAAAATACCCAACGGTGATTTTTAGCTCGTATAAAAATTTTCGATTTTGCCTTTGTTCATGAGTTGTATAACTATACAGAGAAACTATTGACATTTCTGAGGCACATATAGTCATCAAGCTACATCTCCCAAATTAATGAACGGAGCTCAATAGAACTTTGCAAACGTAATCAATAGGACCCAACGTTGATGTTTAACCCTTTACCGCCAAATCGGACTTTTAAGTCGCCTTTAAAAAACCACCGGTTTTCTTTCATTTTTTCGAAAAATTCACATGAGCAAAAAAGTCTTAGATTTATTTTTTACATATGTGTACCAAGTTTCAAGGTTATCTGTCTGTAAATAACCGAAATAAAATTTCCAATGGCAACTTCCAATTTCTTGTGGAAATTTTATTTCGGTTATTTACAGACGGATCACTTTTAAACTTGGTACACATTTGTAAAAGATAAATCTAAGACTTTTTTGTTCGTGTCAATTTTTCGAAAAAAAATGAAAGAAAACGTGAAATTCTTAGAAAACAGCCAAAAAGGGGGTACTGTAGAAATATATCTCCTAATAGGATTTTC